TTTTAGATATGGGACTTAGGGCACCTCACAGACACTTATTCTCTGCATTTGACCATCTATAAAACTTTGAAATAGATCCATCTGTTGCAAAAAGAAGCTTCTTTGAAGAATGGTGAGAGGGCCATATTGATACATATTGAGAATAAAGTAAGAAATTATGTTGCTCTAGGGATGTAACAAAAGTAGATTTTTCTTTAGGGTCTATGACCTCTCCAACCATGTATATTTGGCTATGTTTACAGTACCACATGTGTGTTCTCTCCCACTTAGTGGGGCTTAAGTCCAGTGAGACACCTGTTGATTACCCCCACTACTGTACTAATATAGATCATTTGCTGAGCCGGTCATTGTTGTGGTTCATAGACTTTACAGCTGAATGGGATCATTGATTAGTTTTCTCCCTTGGCAGTTTGCATAGTATCCTCTAATACTATGAGAGTTAGTCTTCAGGGAGGAAAAGTCTAGGTTAGTTCCAACTCAGTTGCTCCAAGTCCTGTGTCCAAAGCATGTCCTGTCTTCAGCAATAGAGTCTTACCTTCAAGTTCTATTGCTGTGGCAATAGCCTGTGTTATTCTAGGAGTCTCTTGGACTTCCTTGATCAACAACTGTAAGGGAAGCTTCCCTGTCTGACACTGTGTTTTTGTTATATAGCCTTCAGATATACACATGCACTCATATATACATATATAAATATATGCATATATTATATATAGTCTGTGTATTTCTCAGTAGACTTTTGAATTAATACATTTCCCTTTTCATACCACCTAAGCATTGTTTATCTCTCCTCTCTCTCCCCCATATACCCCTCCCTATCCCCCCCCAGTTAAAGTATCCTCCATTTTCCCCATGTCCCCCTTGATAACACCTGTCTCCCACTATCCCCCTCTCTCTGGATCCTTCTCCCCCCTCCCCCCATGGTTTCATTCCATTTTCCTGGCTCCTGCAGTTATATCAGAATATATACTCACATCTAAGGATTTGGAACTGGGATCCACTAATGAGAGAGAACATATATCATTTGTTTTTCTGAGTCTGTGTTACTTCACTTAGTATAACAGTTTCTAGTTCCATCCATTTACCTGCAAGTGTCATTATTTCATCTTTCTTTCCTTCTGAGTAGAACTCCACTGTGCAAATGTACCACATTTTCATTATCTATTCATCAGCTGTGGGACTTTAGGTTGTCTTCATTTCATAGTTATTGTGAAAACATGGCTGAATGAGTATCTCTGTAGTAGGATATTGAGTCCTTTGAATATATGCCCAGGAGTGGTAAAGCTGGATCGATGTATACTCACTAACAACATTTGGAGAGCCCCATCCACAATTTTAAATGTCTTCATCATTTGCTCATTCAGTGACACAGGAACACTTGGAGGTGCAAAATTTGCACAGAAATTTTCATTATAGTATCACTTTGGAAACAAATATCCACATGAATGGGTGGTTATTAGTTAAATAGAGAATATTATGGTATGGAAGTCTGTGTCAATCAAAAACAAATATGTGGGGCATGGTGGTTCACACCTGCAGTCCCAGCACTCAGGAAGCTGAAGTAGGATGTGAGCTCAGGATCAGCTTGATCTCCAGAGCAAGACTACCTCAAAAAAGGTTCAGGGGGAGAGGTGGCTCATTGGTTAAGAGTGCTTGCTGCTCTTGTAGAGGATCCAAGTTCAATTCCCAGTACCCACATAAGGTGTCTCACAAATGCCTGAAACTCTAGCTCCAAAGGATCTGACACCTTCCTCTGGCCTCTGCAGGTACCCTCCACCCCCCACCCCACCCCACACACAGCATTCACTCACACGGTCATCCATGCATACACGTAAACAAAAAGAATCAAAAAGAAATCTTTTTTAAAAAGAAGGAAATTAAAGAGAAAGAAACAAAGAATAATATGTGATTTTATGAGTGACTGTGGGGAGCCAAATATTTGTATACGACCATGAATAAGTCAGGCTGTCTCCAATCCTGTAGGATTTACATGATACATGATATCAGAGAATTTGGATGGTGTAGTAAAAATATTTAGAATTTTGACTGAGTGTGGTGGCACATGACTTTAATCCCAGCACTCTGGAGGTAGAGGCAGGCAGATCTCTCTGAGTTCAAGGCCATCCTGGTCTACATAGTAAGTTCCAGCCAGGCCAGCTGGGGCTACAGGGAGACCCCATCTCAAAAAAGACAAAAAAAATTAGAATTTGGGGGGGTGTATGTTTGTTTGTATATTTCTGACAGTCTCGTTATATAACGCAGATTGTACTCAAATTCAAGATCCTCTGGCCTCAGCCTCCTGAGGGTGCGGATTGTATGTGTGAGCTACCATATCTCAGAAATATATTTAGTGTTTAAATTAATGCCCCAGAATACATTCTCTTTTCTATTTCAGTAAATAACATGAATTATCACAAAAGGAGCCAACTGTAAGCTATAGTTAAGGCAACAGATGTGTAAACACTGGGCTGACCCATTTACAGCAAGAAGCCATCATTCTGACACCATACAGACCCACCATCCTTAGAGCATCCATACATCTAAAATAATGCAGAAAAATCTAGCACTAATGGACAGTCAGGACTATTGTTAAGTTATATACTGTAGAAGCAAAATCAATATGTCATTAGCTGGGACCCCAAAACCATGATTTAATAGTAAAACAAGGTGAATTTGTACACCCAGCTGGCTCTATGGCTGCCTCCACTCTACCCACATTGATTCTATTTTTTAGTAAATTATTTGTCCAAGGACAAGAAGGTTGTCAGCAGACAGCATCTCGGTACTTGGACCTGGTATCTTAAGTTTCATTTTGATGTCCTGAACTGGCTTGTCATAATTTGAAGATCTCCAATACTTGGAAAAATTTAATTTGTTCTGTTTATATTGAATCTATAGTATGTGCTAACAGAAAAGTTCCCATGATACAGTATTAACGAAAACCATTAAACCGTTAAAGTCATGGTATAGAACAAGACATTCGGTATGATGTAAGGTTCTTGTGCGTGTGTGCACTAACAGGCACGTAAGAAGTCTGGAAGAATACAAACCACACTGTAATATTCTGGAGAGTGAAGACACAGGCAGGTGAATGTTGAAGTAGAACATATTCAACATTCACACTGTGAGCTTCTGTGATGCTGTCACATTTCTACCATAAGTGTGTATTATTCTGAAACTGAAAACGGAGATAAAAGTAGAACCAGAGCCAGATGGTAAAGGCCATGTGGGCAAAAGGCAGGAAGCAAAACATGATCTTACAAACTGTGGAGAGTCATTGATGGTTTGGGGTAGGAGATGGATTGGTCAGATTTTTGGACATGAATTGCAGAAAGCATTGGGTTCTGAGTGTGGTGAGGATTGGAGCTGGAAAAAACTAGTGATGTTTTGAGGGCTCAGGCAGCCAGTACATGCGCCTTGGACCTGTAAAGAGCTGTTGGAGGAGAAGGGGTATGTCTTGGAGCCAGATGAAAGGCCCTGGGTAGACATGGAGGTTGTAGAGTCATATAGAGCTGGCATTTCACAGCCGTTTCATGTGTGACTTTGTGGTGAACAGCTTCTGTTCCTCACTCCCAAGTGATTTATCAGCAGATACATTGTAGACAAACCAGTCTTCCATGAGAAATGGAACCACTTAGATTGGCTGGAAGATGCTTTTCCCACAGACCTGCAATTGTGGGGTTGTCTATGCATGCAATTGTGGGGTTGTTTAAGATTCTTTCCTCCTACCCACAGTGGGCACCCTGGGGAGCCTGTACTCAGAAAGAGGCTGTGAACTCTGTTATCCTGACCCAAGGGCTCTCCTGCCCTTCTCCTCATCCAGGCCAAGCCACAAGAGGTCCAAGTCAAACTGGGTCTGGCTAAGCCCCCTTCCTCTCAGAGGCCCACCGCCGACTACATGGCCTGTTCCCTGACTGTAGTCAAGGCCCTCAGGCCCAGAAGGGTTTTGACCTGGAGAACACCTCTGGTCTTCTTTCCAGTTTTCCCAGGGTTCTGGTAATTTCTAGACATGTTTCCTAGCCAAGGAGAAGTTCATCAATTCATCCCAAATATGTCCTAGGCACTTACTGCCAAGCACAGCTCTGAGGACTGGTGTGTAGCCATGAGGCAGTCAGCTAAGTCCCTGCTCCCCTTGCTCCCTAGAATTCAGGGCCCTGGGTTCCCAGCTGGGAACATTCTGCAGTTTCCTATGTATAATGGATGATAGTGTCTGAGCTGCTGGGCCCAGGCCAAGGGATGGTAGCTGTCCAGGGCCAGTCAACTCCATTCTTGGTAGAGCCCAGTCAAGGGTGAATCTGAGACTGTGCAAGCTGACCAGGACACCCTTCACCTCAGTGTGTAACTGGAAACTAAAACCCAACTGAACCTCAACATCAAGTCAAGTAGATCTTCAAAGTTCTGATTTTTGCCTCATTATGACCATATGTTTATCTTCAAAATATTAATAATTATCAAATTCTTTCTCAAGAAAGTTATTTGAGGTTCCCCATGCTGTAATGGTGATCTCTACACCTTCCAGTCAAAACAGAACCCAGACTTTGTTCTGGCCTCCTTGTCCAAAGAAACGAGTCTCCACAGCAGGACAGGCTCAGAGTGACGATCCTAAGGTTGACGTTCTGGCTGCCATGCAGAGCCTGCTGACCATGCCGGCCTGCATCAGGCCCCTCTTAGTGTCTGGATACTGACTGCATGACTCAGCCCTTCATGCTGAGTATAGAAAAGCCTGGCCGATCAATGTGAATTCCAAGTCACAGCTGATTCCAGTGGGGGGTGGGCTAAACATATCCAAGCCATGTCAATACACTGGACATTCAGTGCCACATCCTGGAATTACTGAGTGTCTGGGGTCCCCCATCCTGAGGGGAAAAATGGCACCACACCAAGCCAGGCAGAGTATCAATAGCACATGAGGGAATGAAGACGGGCAACGTCACCACACCAAATTGCTCTTGTTACCATGAGCCCAGCTCTCTGCAGTAAACATGTGTGGTTCTCTCTTGCAGAGTGATGAGGTCCTCACTGTCATCAAAGCCAAAGCCCAGTGGCCTGCCTGGCAGCCTCTCAATGTGTAAGTACCAAACACACCCTGGCCCTGCCCTGGCCCATCCTAGCCCTGCCCTGAGAGCCACCTACCCACTGGCTACTTCATACCAGTTATGCCACTGAAGTCAGTAATAACCTCTCAGAAGAGCAAGCCAATGAGGTGTTACCCATGTGGGAAGTCTCCTGTGTGCTCTCTTTGGTGGTCCTCAACTCAGAGAACCCAGCTCAGACATATGATTAACTACTGCGTGTTCCCTCGTGCCCCCAGTCCAATAGACTTAACATATCTATGTTCAGTGTCCTGGGCACACACAGGTGTGCTCACCCTAAGCAATTCTGATTTATGGGAAGTCAGGCTTTCCCTGGGTCCTGTTCTCAGTCCCTATCTCTTCTCTATCAACTTTATCCTCCCTTAGAGATGTTCTCTGTCCTAGAGTCTTTGATGGCCAGGAAAATGCTAACAGTTCCAAAACTACTGCTGTCCCAGATGAATGGATGGACAGATGGACAGATGATGGATGGATAACAGATGAGAGATAAAAGATAGATTGATCAATATATAGATAGACAATAGAATGATAGATTATTGACTGAAAGAGGTAAATAGATAATAGAGTGATAGATGACAGATAGATAGATAGATAGATAGATAGATAGATAGATAGATAGATGATAGATGGTTGATGATAGATGATAGATAGATAGATAGATGATAGAAAGAGAGAGAAGATAGATGATAGATGATAGATGATAGATAGATTAGATAGATAGATATAGATAGATGATAGATAGATAGAAAGATAGATAGATAGATAGATAGATAGATAGATGATAGAAAGGCAGAGAAGATAGATGATTGATAGATAGATAGATAGATAGATAGATAGATAGACAGACAGATAGATAGATGATAGATAGATGATAGGTAGGTAGATAGATGATAGATGATGATGATAGTTAGATAGATAGAAGATAGATAGATAGATAGATAGATAGATAGATAGATAGATAGATAGATAGACAGACACACAGATTCATCAGTTTTGGGGGCTGCCTCTCCATGAATGGCCCACATTGACCTTGAGCTCATCATGTCCAAAATGGAACTCATCACCTTCACACAAACTACTCTTTTTCGTGTGGAGAAGCATCAAAAGTGCAGTGACTCCCCTTTATTTTGAGAATAAAGTCCCCTTTATTCTTCCTTCTTGATAGCTCACAAACCAGTCCTTCCCCAGTATCTTCTGCCTTTAATTCAAACCACCATCAGCTCTTCCTTCCTGACCCACTTTACCTCTTTCCTCTTGTATAGCCTCCAATCCAATTCATTATCTGTGCTGTCATGAGTGACCGTTTAAGAATCCACACTTTTTGTGTCCTCCCTAAGAAGTGTCTTTCTATGACCCTTACTGTCCAGAATGAAGTCCACTATCCCAGTTTCATTTCTGTTGCTGTGATAAAATACTCTGGTGAAAAGCAAATTAGGAGAGAAAGGGATTTCTTTCAGTTCACAGATCTAGGTTACTGTCCCTCAGAGCAGAGAAGTCACAGTGTCAGGACCCTGAAGCAGCTAGTCACGTCACAGTCAAGAGCAGAGAGAGATGATCTCACCCATGCTGCCTGCTTGCTGCAGCCTGCTTCCTTCACTCTTACACAGTTCAGGGTCAGCCCATGAAATGGTGCCACTCACATTCAGAACGGTCTTCCTGCGGCAATGAGCAGTCAAGACAGCCCCACACAGACGTGCCCACAGGCCAACCTGATAAAGACAATTCCTCAGTTGAGACTCTCTCCTCATATGATTCTAGGTTGTGACAAGTTTATGATTAAAACTATCACTGGGGACTGGAGAGATGGCTCAGAGGTTGAGTGTGTACTTTTCTCACAGAGGACCCAACTTCAATTCCCAGCACCCATCAGGCAGCTCACAACCACCTTAACTCCACTTCCAAGGGGTCTGACACCTCTTCTGGCCTCTGTGGGCATTGCACTCGTGTACAAACCTACACTCAGACAGACACACACACACACACACACACACACACACAATTTTAAAAAATAAAAATTTAAAGAAATTCCTTTAAAATAAAAGCTAACCATCACATTCACACTTTGTAATTGAGCTTAGTGATCTACAGTGAACATAACACTTTCTACCTGCCTCTTTTCCAATGGGCTCTTTTCCATGGCTCCCTGATTGGCACCTCACTCTGGCCACCCTGAACAGTTCCTCAGCTAGGTTTTGACTTCCATTCATCCTTTAAGGATATAAGGCTTGGAAGCCCCCATCAGAGAATAGTTTCTAAGGAAGGACGTGGCTAACCTCTGTGGGCTTGTCTTCCTCCATTAGCAGTGCTCACACAGGAGACAGCCACACACAGGGACGGTGTGCAGTCCTGCTCCATGGAGAGGGAAAACCCCAAATGATGGGAAGAGAGACAGGGTGTTAAAAGGAGGATTCTCCAAGCCGGAGCAGAAGCCAAGGGAGGAGGGGCACTCACACTCCTGCCGGGGGCGGGGAACTTTGCCAAGCACCTGGCGCACGCCCACTCAACTCCACAGCCCAACAGTGGTTCATCCCTTACTGTGTGCCAACCCTGTACACACAGATAACTAACAGATCTCTGCCACTCTACGTCTACCCTTTGCATTAATCCAAACAGCACCATATGCACAGAACATGCAAGATGCAGTGTCTGAGCCTTGATCTGCCCAGATGAGCAAGTGTTAGGATGAGGATTCAATCTTCTCTGGAAGGCCAGAGACTAAGGCCATCCAGACTAAGGCTGGAAGGACAGCTGGCTGCCCAGAGTAGCGCTGCCGTCTGCACGGGACCTTTCTGCCTTCTTAGATCGCCAAGCCTTGCTGTGTGAGGAAGGCCACAGCAGGCCAGCAGAAAATCCAGCAATCCAGGAAGTGCCTTTCCCCCCCAGTGAGTAGCACTGGAGACAGGGTGGGCTGACCCGAACTCTCTCCTGTTCCATGTGTCTCCTTCCTCTCCTCTAGAAAACACCATGTAAGCTCCTAAAGATGCCCAGTCCCCTTTGCATAATTGACATCAATTAGCAATCAGGTCCCCCGGGTCCTGTCTGCCCAGGTCTCTCTTCAGCTTCCTCTAGGGTCCAGGCTCTAAGACTTCCATGTGAAGACCCTCACTTTGAGGCCTCTAAGAGGGCAGAGCTGTAAGGATAGGGATGGGTTGGAGGTGCCTGAGCCACAGTTGTTCATGCCAAGAAGCGCCTGATTCCTAGAGCATCCCAGGTCTCAAAACATTCAGGAAGGAGAGAGCAAAGACAGCAAGGGACTGCCTTTCACTGTAAGCAGCTACTGAGTGCCCGATTACCCAGACACTTCTATAGAGGCATTCTCTCACTCAATCCTCATGGTGACCCCATGCAATAACCCCCTTTTACAGATGGTAAAACTGAGATTTGTACCTCTGGCAATCCTCTAGTTCAATCGGAGGTAGAATGAGAATTCCAACTATACCCAGACAACTGACCCTAATGCAACACATTCACTCTTTCTATAATGAGATCCCTCGATTAAGTAAATACCACTTGTTCTCTCACTTTTTTGTACATACCTTCCGGACAGCCTTTTGGGTATCCTGAAATTAGCAGTGTGACAAGAGTCATAAATGACTTGTGTCTCAAAATAACAAGAAGCAAAACCTGACCTCGTCTTACCTGCATCATTCTAATAAGGATGACTCAAATAATTCATTGATTCATTAGTTATCAAAGGTCACCAAAGACAAGCTCCATGGAGAAGTCTGAGGACGCTGTTGTAAGCGTGTTTTGTGGGGCTTGCTGTTCAGTGGGGAGAGATATTTAGTAAATGGCCACACAAATGACGACACTATGACATACCTAAGAAGGAAAAGCTTGGCATCATGAGAATGTGTAAAGAGGATCCTGGCCCAGTTAAGGGAGTCAGAGCTAGCTTTCCTAAAGAAATGACAATGGACCAAGACCTAAAGAATTAGAAAGACTTGGTGCTGTCTCCGAGAGATGGCTCAGTGGTTAAGAGCACTGGCTGCTCTTGCAGAGGACCCAGGCTCAGTTCCAGCACTCAAATAGCAGCAAACAACCATCCATAATTCTGGCCTCTGTGGGCATTGCATACGTGGGTGTACTCACATGGAGGCAAAACACTCATAAACATAAAATAAAAATAAATAAATGAATAGTTTAAAATAAATAAGGACAGAAGAATAGGGCATATTCAGAGCATTAAAAGGCTATGGCACAACTGGGTCCAGCAATCAAAGGTGAGCTTAGTGTGGGGTCAAACCATGCATTAAAAATTTAGGAACTGTATCAGGATGGGGCAAAGGAGAATATGGTCAAAGTGCATTATACACTTGTCTGAAATTGTACTTATGAAATCTGATATTATGAATCATAAATAAACCAATAAACTGTTTTGACTTTTAAATTACAAACAAAACTTTTATACTGAAGAGTTTTAAGCAAGAAGATATGATCAGATTGGCAGTTGAAAGCTAAAAAGCAACACTATGGCTCCAGTGGATGGGGTGAGGTGGGTGCTCAGGGCAGCTGCAGAGAGCCAGGAGGGAATTAACTATGACGTCTGCTGGGACGGTGGTAGTGGGAGGTGGAGACGGAGCAAGGTTTGGAGGAGTGGGCAGTGCACGTGGGAGGGAAAGCTGACAGGTTGTGGCAACAGAGTAAGAAGGAAAGGTGAAGGAGGCAGAGTGGTCAAGACGTTTCTCAGGGGTGGGGCTGGCCCAACTAGGGACCTGGCAGTGCCACAAATGATGGGGGCATTAGAGGAAGCTTTATAGGAAAGCCCACGAGATGAGCTCTGACCACTTTATGTTGTTAAGATGCCTTCTAAACATCCAAATGGAGGCAAAGCACCCAGTTAGCTATGTAGCTCAAATTGCAGGGCAAAAATTCTCTGCCGATGCAAAATTAAGAATCGTGGATGAATGAGAGGCAGCCAGTACCAAGAGCACAGATGACAAAGAGCTTGAGAATACACATCAAGGGCTTAGGA